AGGCCTAGGGCCTCCAAAGCCTCCTTCCCTGAACTCCTATCCCAGTGGAGGGATGTAGGGAAGAGGGCAGGTGAGGAAGAGAAGCAGGAAAGATGCGAGGCAGGGCGGCATGGGGGAACGGGCGCAGGGTGCCCACAAGGTAGAAGATTTACAGGAGCTGGCCGTGCTAACGTGTCCACTGGTGCGGGACAGACAGGCATCCTTGTCCTGTGAGAAGGGGGTAGGAAGTCAGTGGAGGCTGGGTCAGGATGAGGGGAGGAGGATGAGGCCAGGGCAGACCAGACCCATTCTTCTGACTGCTGAGGATATCAAGTAAAAGACCGTGTGCTGGCCCTCCCTCCCTCCCTCCCTCCCTTCCTTCTTTCCTTCCTTCCTTCCTTCCTTCCTTCCTTCCTTCTTTCCTTCCTTCCTGTATTCCGGCTTGAACTCAGGGCTAAGGTGCTGTCCCTTAGCTATTTCGCTCAAGGCTAGTGTTCTAGGACTTGAGCCACAGTTTCCCTTCTGCCTTTGTGTTGATTCATTGGAGATAAAAGTCTCCCAGACTTTTTTGTCCCCAGGCTGGCTATGAACGGTGATCCTCAGATCTCAGTCTCTGAGTAGCTAGGATGACAGGAGTGAGCCACCAGTGCCCACCTCTTCTTTAGTATGGAAGAAACCCATGTCAGCCTGTGCTTTGGTGACCAAATTTCATCTTATCAGATGCATCTATCTGCCCAGCCCCTGCCAGTGTGCTCACCCACATGACCTCCCTCACCCCTGCATCCACCTAACACCTGCCAGTGTGTGCTCACCCACATGACCTTCTCCCTCACCCCTGCATCCACCTAACACCTGCCAGTGTGTGCTCACCCACATGACCTTCTCCCTCACCCCTGCATCCGCCTAACACCTGCCAGTGTGTGCTCACCCACATGACCTTCTCCCTCACCCCTTCATCCACCTAACACCTGCCAGTGTGTGCTCACCCACATGACCTTCTCCCTCACCCCTGCATCCACCCAGCCCCTGCCAGTGTGTGCTCACCCAGATGACCTCCCCTCACCCCTGCATCCGCCCAGCCCCTGCCAGTGTGTGCTCACCCACATGACCTTCTCCCTCACCCCTGCATCCACCCAGCCCCTGCCAGCGTGTGCTCACACACATGACCTTCTCCCTCACCCCTGCATCCGCCCAGCCCCTGCCAGTGTGTGCTCACCCACATGACCTTCTCCCTCACCCCTGCATCCTCCTAACACCTGCCAGTGTGTGCTCACACACATGACCTTCTCCCTCACCCCTGCATCCTCCTAACACCTGCCAGTGTGCTCACACACATGACCTTCTCCCTCACCCCTGCATCCGCCTAACACCTGCCAGTGTGCTCACACACATGACCTTCCTCCCTCACCCCTGCATCCACCTAACACCTGCCAGTGTGTGCTCACACACATGACCTTCTCCCTCACCCCTGCATACGCCCAGCCCCTGCCAGTGTGTGCTCACACACATGACCTTCTCCCTCACCCCTGCATCCGCCTAACACCTGCCAGTGTGCTCACACACATGACCTTCCTCCCTCACCCCTGCATCCACCTAACACCTGCCAGTGTGTGCTCACACACATGACCTTCTCCCTCACCCCTGCATATGCCCAGCCCCTGCCAGTGTGTGCTCACACACATGACCTTCTCCCTCACCCCTGCATCCGCCTAACACCTGCCAGTGTGCTCACACACGACCTTCTCCCTCACCCCTGCATCCACCTAACACCTGCCAGTGTGTGCTCACCCACATGACCTTCTCCCTCACCCCTGCATCCACCTAACACCTGCCAGTGTGTGCTCACCCACATGACCTTCTCCCTCACCCCTGCATCCACCTAACACCTGCCAGTGTGTGCTCACCCACATGACCTTCTCCCTCACCCCTGCATCCGCCCAGCTCCTGCCAGTGTGTGCTCACCCAGATGACCTTCTCCCTCACCCCTGCATCCACCTAACACCTGCCAGTGTGTGCTCACCCAGATGACCTTCTCCCTCACCCCTGCATCCGCCTAACACCTGCCAGTGTGTGCTCACCCACATGACCTTCTCCCTCACCCCTGCATCCACCCAGCCCCTGCCAGTGTGTGCTCACCCACATGACCTTCTCCCTCACCCCTGCATCCACCTAACACCTGCCAGTGTGTGCTCACCCACATGACCTTCTCCCTCACCCCTGCATCCACCCAGCCCCTGCCAGTGTGTGCTCACCCACATGGCCTTCTCCCTCACCCCTGCATCCGCCCAGCCCCTGCCAGTGTGTGCTCACCCACATGACCTTCTCCCTCACCCCTGCATCCACCCAGCCCCTGCCAGTGTGTGCTCACACACATGACCTTCTCCCTCACCCCTGCATCTGCCCAGCCCCTGCCAGTGTGTGCTCACCCACATGACCTTCTCCCTCACCCCTGCATCCACCTAACACCTGCCAGTGTGTGCTCACACACATGACCTTCCTCCCTCACCCCTACATCCACCTAACACCTGCCAGTGTGTGCTCACCCACATGACCTTCCTCCCTCACCCCTGCATCCACCTAACACCTGCCAGTGTGTGCTCACACACATGACCTTCCTCCCTCACCCCTGCATCCACCTAACACCTGCCAGTGTGTGCTCACCCACATGACCTTCTCCCTCACCCCTGCATCCACCTAACACCTGCCAGTGTGTGCTCACCCACATGACCTTCTCCCTCACCCCTGCATCCGCCTAACACCTGCCAGTGTGTGCTCACACACATGACCTTCCTCCCTCACCCCTGCATCTACCCAGCCCCTGCCAGTGTGTGGTCACACACATGACCTTCTCCCTCACCCCTACATATGCCCAGCCCCTGCCAGTGTGTGCTCACCCACATGACCTTCTCCCTCACCCCTGCATCTACCCAGCCCCTGCCAGTGTGTGGTCACTTTAGACTGTTCATTTCACACTGGTAGGAGATCTACCCTGTGGGACTCACTTGTAAACACATGAAAGATGGGAGTGTCCTTAAGAGAGGGACTGGGGTGCAGGTCCAGGGTCAGGCTCCCTCTGGAGTGGCAGCTGGTTCCATCTTGGTTGGGTGCAGGTGGCAGGCAGGAGGCTGAAGGGGCCCTGGCCCTGGTAGTGTGGGCTCTGGAGAATGGGGACACAGCGGGATGGCCTTGATGGGACACTGTGGGAGCACAGGGGGCTGCTGCTGAGCCCTGGGCTCCCTGCATGGTTCAGGCCAGCAAGGTGTTTCTGGGTGGTCTAGGAAAGCTCAGCTGGTGAGGCTAACCAGCATCAGGTGGGTGTGGGAATCTCCCCAAGATCCAGGATAGGGCAGGCCTGCGGAAGAGTGTGGGGAAGAGTGTGGCTTCGCATGGTGACAGTATTTACCCCGAGGCCACGCTCCGGCTAGAGTTAACTGGCCTCAGTGGTCCCATGGAACCGATCTTAAGTCCATTTTACACAGAGGTCCTGCTGGCCCCAGACCCCTCCCACACCCTGTCAGCCTTCGGGGTGCATTCTCCTGAGAGGTGTGGACAGAGCAGCCTCACACCCTGCAGGGCCTGGGCAGAGGCGGGGCCTTCTCCTCTCACATCCACACTGGGAAGTCCAGCGGTGGCCATGGCCACCCCTTCATGCTCCACAGACAGAAACCTTCACCCTTCTTCCCTGTCCCAACACCTCTGCACTCTGCCTTTACTGCCCTGGGGGTGGGGGTGGGGTGCCTGGAACTCAAAACCAATGGAGAAAAGAGGTGAGCGGAGCACTAAGGAACTGCTGAGCCAGGTGAGCCCGGCGCTCGGCCCCCTGGGTGGGTGCTGGGGCCCTGGGGTCTCAGCGACCCCACTGCCTCGGCCCCTCCAAGGCCAGGTGAAGCGCCTCTCCCTTCCTTTGGAGATGGAGAAGCTTGCTGAGTGCAGAGGAAGGCCTGGATCCTCGCCTCCGAATCCCCGTGTCCCCCGCAGGGGGACCCAAGACTTATCATGAGAGGGGGAGGGGCAGCTTGACAGAGGGGACAAGGAGTTTTGGGGACCTGTGGGTTTCAGGGCGGCCTGTGGGCGATCTGGGGGACACACCAATGACGGGAGGGAGGGGGAGAGGAGAGGAGGAAGGGTGAGGGAGTGAGGGAGGCGGGCGGGAAGGAAAGGGGAGAGGTAGCCGAGCTTCTTCCCGGCTTGGGGTGGTCTGGGAGGGGATCTGAGGGCGGGGCTGTCTTTGGGGTCCTCCCAACTCTAGTGTCCAAAGCTACATCTCACCTCTGGGGGAATGGGAGAAGTGGGGGGCGGGGAGCAAGAGAGAATCCAGGGCTCTGCCTGGGGGAGGCCAGCTCACCCAGTTTCTCCAGAGTAGGGTGCTGCTCCCCAACTTCACCTAGGCCCGGCTGGGTGCTCAAGGAGGCCCCTCGAACCTGTGGACCCAGTCCCCTTTCCTACCAGGAAAAGGAGCCACTGTTCTCCTCCCCGTGTCCCCCAAGTGTTCCATTTTCAGGTACCCCCCTTCTTCCCCCAGCCCTTGGCGTAGCTGCCTTCCGCCCAGCTAGGCTGCGGGCAGCCGCCTTCGCCCTACGAGTGCCCCCCGCGCGTCTCTTCCTCCCGGGGACCCCCAAGGACACTCCCCACCCCGCGGCTCCTCCGCCCCCTTCCCCCAAGCCGGCGGTCCGGGTTCCCCCTCCCCGGGCGCACCGCGGCATCGTAGGTGCGGGGGCGCGGCGGGGCGGGGGGCGCGGCGGGGCGGGGGGCCGGGGCGCCGGCTCCACCTGCGGGCGCGGCGGGCCGGCGGGGCGCGGCGGGCGCGGCGGGCGCGGGGGCGGCGCGGGCGGCGCGAGGGAGGGGCCAGCTCGGAGCCCGCGCAGCCCGGCTCGGCCCCGGCTCGCTCGGCGCAGCGCAGCGCAGCGCCGCGCGCGTCCCCTCGCCGCCGCCGCCGCCGCCCGCCGCCGCCGAGGCGCACGGCACCGGGGCCCCCGCCGCCGCCCGCCGCCGCCGGCGCACGGACGCAGCGCGCACCGATCGGCCGGAATGCGCGCCCGGGCCCCGGCCCGCCCGCACCCGCGGCCGCCGCCCGCACGCCGCGCGCTCGCCTGACCGCGGCGCCCGCCTCCCGCGGCCGCCCCCGACCGTCCCCGCCGCCCCTCCCCGCTGCCCGGCGGCGATGCCCGCTCCCCGGGGCCCCGGCGGCCCGCGCCCCTGCTAGGCTGCGGCGGCATGGCCCGCGCGCCCGGCGCGACCTCTGCGGATTGCTTCGCTGTGCGGCGGCCGGGCATGCCCGGGGCACCGGGCACGGCCTTCAATGGGCGAGGACACGGACGCGCGGAAAATTAACCACAGCTTCCTGCGGGACCACAGCTATGTGACTGAAGGTAACGTAGTGCTGCCCGAGGCCCGCTCCGGCCGGCCGCGGCGCGGGGATGCCGTCGCACCGAGTGCCCTCCGAAGGTTTGGACCGCGCGCTGTGTGTCGTGTCCCCCCCGCCCCGCCCCGCCCCGCCCCGCCGCACCCCGACCCGGGCCCGGGCCCCCGCGGCCCGCCCGCCCGCCCTCCCCCGCGCCGCCCGCCCCCCTCCGCGCCGCCCTCCTCCGCGCCGCCCGCCGGGCGACTCCCGGTCTCCGAGGCCGGCCTGCGGCACAGAGCCCCGGGACCGCGACGCTTCACAGGCCGGGCCTTCGCCATGTCTGCCCTGCCCGGGGCCCGCAGAATCTTCTAGGCTGCTCAGTCTGTGGAAACGCAGAGGGACGCCCCCCCACCCGGGGAAGGGGAGCCCGTGGGGTCGGGGTCCCTGCGCGCGCGGGCGGGGGTTGGGGCGCCGGGCCTTCGGGGTGTCCCCCCCGAAGGGGCGCACGCCGCCCCCTCCCCGGGTCCCGCCAGCCCGGCCTCCACCGGGCGGTGGCGTGGGGTCCGAACCCCGCGGAGCGCAGCAACTTCCGGGGCGCGGGACGGGGACGCTCGGGGCTGGGGGCGGCCCCAGGTGAGGGCGGACCTGACCCCGCGGGGCGCCCGGCCTCCGCCGGAAACGAGGCCGAGGGCGGCCGGCCGCCGGCCCGCGGGTGCCCGCGGCGGTGCCGGTGCCCACGGCGTGCGCCCCCCGCGCGGGGAGAACGCTGAGTCACGGCCGCGGGCGGCGGGGCCCCGGACCGGCTTCGGGAGGCCCCGGGGCTCCGCGTCCTTTGTCACCGTGGGGCCGAGGCAGGGTCGCGAGCCCCGGGTCCCCCAGGCCTCGGCGGCTGCGGGGGTCGGGGGAGGGGGGACCCGGCTTCCTGCCCGGCCTGGCGGGCTCTGGGGGCTTCCTGGAGGAAGCCTTCTTTTCCTCAGCCCTACATCGGGCTCCATGCTTGTCCTCGGGCTGTTGTGTAATAAGCCTAAGAAGCACAGCGTGCACTCTTTCTGCTCCCATCTTCCTCAGTTTCCCTTCTTCATTCAGCACCTGCTGATGTCTGACCATTTGCACAGCTAGGCCTTGTGTGAGGCCCGGGACTGGACATAGATCCCCTGCCTTTGGGCAGGCAAGAAATCTGTATGTGTATTTTTCTCTTTTCACCTGCCTCAGTTTCCCTCATGTGTATAATGGATGTAAATAAGACTACCCTGCGTGGTGTCCTTGGAACTGTGAGCTGTTAAAGGTTGTGAGCACCTACTATGTGCCAGGACCACCGCACACAAGGCCTTACAGAGCATCTGCTCTGTGTGTGTGTGTGTGTGTGTGTGTGTGTGTGTGTATGGGGGGAAGCCACTCTCCAAGTCTCCCATAGTGCCTACTGTGTGCTGGGGCCACATACCCGGCCTCACAGAGCACCTGCTATGTGTCAGGGCCACATGCAAGGCCTCACGTGACACCTACTAAGTGCAGGGCAACACTCAGAGTCTTACACGGCACCCAAGACCTCATACAGCACCTGCTGTACGCCCATGCCACATACAAGGTGGCCCACAGTGTGGGCCACACAGAAGGCTGCACTCAGTGCCTACTGTGTCCTGCGGTCACATGCACGGCCCCACGTAGCCTTTTTCCAACTTTGTCCACAGCTTGTCCTTTCCAGTCCTGCCCATGGCTCAGACACAGTGGGGGATGGGGTGCCCTCAGGAAGGGCAGGGTCTGGAGAAGAAGAGGGGGCCAGCTGGTACTTTTAGGATGGAAGGAGGATTGCAGTCTCCTCTAAATGACAGCAGACCTCACACCGCTGCCTGCTGGCAGCCAGCCCAGTGGGGAGTGCTCAGACGTGCCCAGGCTCAGACTCGTGTTCAAATTCTATTCTCACTTCCTACCCGCTGTGTGACCTGAGACGTGATGGAGCCTTTCTGAGCTTCATTTTCTCCCTTTAAAGGCAGAAATAGTAATGACGGTGAGATGGCCAGAGATGGTCCTGATATAGAAAGCTGCCGGCATAGCATTTAGCTTGTTGTTGGCGTTTACTAAAGGGCCCCGTTCTGTTCTGCCTTGTAGCTGGCGGAGCTCCATGAAAGATGAGTAGCGGATGCTTAGGCTCCGTTTGAGAAAGACTCAGGGATTCGAGTCCCATCTGCCTGATGTTTGGGCCCACCCCAGCTGTTCTGATCCACTTCCTGCCCCTCGTACACCATTTGCTTCCTGGTCTCGGGGCTCTGTCTTTCCCCTTGAACCTCTTGCCTGTCCGGTGTCACCATGTTTGGCAGTGGAGTTCATGAGTCTGGTACAATGCTAAATATCTTGAGAAAAGTTTGTTAGTTATTTACACATGGGTATGAATGAGAGCAATGGATTTGTGTGTGTGTGTGTGTGTGTGTGTGTGTGTGTGTGTGTGTGTGTGTGTGCCTGCTCATAGCTGAGATCAGTTGATTTGATTTGGTTGCCATGACTGTTGGGCACAAAGAACTTGGGGTGCAGGGACAACCAGTGACATAGAAGCTCCTAGAACAGTGGGGACCCTAAGCCTTAGAGAAAGGGGACCCAGGGTTGGGAGCTGCTGGGAAGGCTGTCGGATGTCTCCAGAGGATCCTCCTGGCGTTGCTCTCCTGTGCTGCAGGCCCAGGACTTCGCTTTAGAGCGAGTTAAGGGATGTTAGGTGTGGCTGGGCCGACAAAGCCCATCTACCCATCCTTCCCTGGGCCGTTTTCTATGTATGTCCTGCTGGGTGCTGACCCACGGCAGGGAGAGGCCGCTCTACTGCAGGCTCTCAGTCTGGGGGACCTGGCAGAGGTTGCAGAGGCATGGTGCGGAGTGGCCCCGTCTCTGTGGGAGCACCCAGGCACAGCGCCCCCTCCCTGAGGCAGCTCAGCCACGGCCTCTTGGCCACGCCTGCTTCTCTCGTCTGGCTAGGGCTCCCAGGCACCCAGGGGTCCCTGCCGACCTTGCGTGCGCGTGTGTGTGTGTGTGTGTGTGTGTGTGTGTGTGTGTGCTGTGACTCTCTAATGCAGGCTGAGAGGGGCTGTTGTGAGGGAGGGGGCTTGCATGCAGTGGACACCTGACCTTTGGAATGGTGTCATCACTGATCTCCCCAACACCCAAGCTCCCCTCCCCCAGTGCCGCACACCTGTAGCTCCCAGGAAGATGCCTGGGTGTGTGAACGTGAACAGCCAGATCCATCCCAGGGTGGGTGTCCCTGGCAGCAGCTGCTTCCAGAGTGGAAGTGGAAGTCAGTTCTGGAGGTAGAGTGGAAAGTCAAGAAAGCTGCAGGAAATAGGTCTCTTTCTGGGGATAAGAACATGGAATCCAAAAGCTGGGCGCTGGTGGCTTGCGCCTGCCATCCTAGCTTCTCAGGAGGCTGAGACCTGAGGATGGTGGTTCAAAGCCAGCCTGGGGGGCCGGGAAGGTGGCTCAGCGGTACAGTGCTTGCCTTGCATGCATGAGGCCCTGGGTTCGATTCCTTAGTACCACATAAGCAGAAAAAGCTGGAAGTGGCACTATGGCTCAACTGGTAGAGCACTAGCCTTGAGCTGAAGAGCTCAGGGACAGCGTCCAGCCCCATGACTGATAAAAAACAAAATAACAACAAAGCTAGCCTGGGCAGGGAAATCTGTGAGACTCTTATCACCAATAAACCACCAAAACCTGGAAGTGGCTATGGCTTAAGTGGTAGAGCGCTTGCCTTGAGGTGAAGAGCTGAGGGACAGTGCCCAGGCCCAGAGTTCAAGCCCCATAACTGACAAAAAAAAAAAGGAATCTTTGTGGTTGTTGGCAGCCATCTTGGTACCAGGAGGAAGCAAATCCTCAGATGCTGTTGTTGGCAGCCAGGTAGAGAGTGAGGGAGAACTGAAGGCCATGGAGGCCGCCTGTCCTGATGTCCGCTCCATTCTGGGTTTCTGGTTTCAAGAGCTGGCATGCCTCCTTGGTGCACACACCCCCCGGCCTTGTCAGGGGACCCAGGGGGCGGCCTCCACTGCACCACTCAAGCTAGGGAGAACCGAGAGGGCCGTTAGCTTCCTGCTGTCAGAACCCTCTCTCTTTTCTCTTATTTCACTCAAGTCAGAGTTGCTGACCTCTGGGTTCTCCGCCCTGGTCCTGTGGAGGTGGCAAAGGAGAGACCCCCCCCAAGACCTGGGTTCCGGTGCTGTCTCTGCTGGTGGCCTGGGCTCTGAGCCCCACGGTCCTCTCAGGTGCAGTGGGAAGTCCCCATCAGCGGGAACGAGGGCTGCTAGCTCTTCAGTCCACGCGGTCCTTTGTAAGTGTCATTCAGGGTGTGTCTGCTTCCTAGGGACGCAGGCTAGACGAGCCCTCAGAACACACCTCGTGTGCCCACCTCCTGCCCCCACCCCCGACCCTTACAGAGAAACTGAGGCTGGGTGGGAGGAGGAACGGTAGAGACTTACAGCCCAGAGGGAGAGAGGGACCCCGCCAGCCTTTGCTGCAGGACCGCAGGGCTCTGTGTGCCCTTTGCCAGTGCCCTGACCATCCTTTCCTTGAGCTTCTTGGGCAGGGGGGAGGCCGGGCGGAGGCCGGGCCTGCCGGGCGCCCTTCCTCAGACCCCAGCACCTTTGGGCCTCAGGCCGGCAGTGTCAGTCCCTTGTGCTGGGTCATCATGGGCTCCATGAGCAAAGGCTGTGGGGTCACTGCAGTTTACACAGGTCAAGGTTGTTGCCGCTGTCCCATTCCTGTCCCCACCCACAGGTAACTGGCATCGCTCGCTTTTTTTTTTTTTTTGTCGGTCGTGGGACTTGAACTCTGGGCCTGGGCGCTGTCCCTCAGCTGTTCAGCTCAAGGCGAGTGCTCTACCACTTGAGCTACAGCGCCACTTCCGGTTTTCTGGTGGTTTATTGGAGATAGGAGTCTCACGGTCTCTCCTGCCCGGGCTGGCTTTGAACCGCGATCCTCAGATCTCAGCCTCCTGAGTAGCTAGGATTACAGGCGTGAGCCACCAGCTCCGGCTCATCGCTTGCTTTTAATCAGCCC